TTCAATAAAATTCGATTTAAAAATTATTCTAAACCTTAATTCTAAACAAACAAGTGTCTGAGATTATATTATCTGAAGTCTAAACATCAAGAAACCTTCTGAATTTACACTGGACTTCAAAAAACTACTGTTGCTACTATAACTATAGGCAGAAAAATTTTAAGATTGAAAAAGATGCTATAAAGATTGCTATAAACTGCAAGAAGATATATGGAATATCACTGGTCTACCTCTAAACTGCAAGAAAGTATCTGCAACACCTTGCTATAACTCTAAATTCTCAAAAACTTTCTAGAATTATACTGGTAAAACTTTGAATTGCAAGAAAATGTCTGAAAATACACCTACCATGCTATGAAGTGCAAGAAAATATCTGGAATATCACTGGCCTACGTCTGGACTTCAAGAAAGTATCTGCAACTACCTTGCTGTAACTTTAAATTCTCAAAAACTTTCTAGAATTATACTGGTAAAACTTTAAATTGCAAGAAAATATCTGAAAATACACCTACCATGCTATGAAGTGCAAGAAAATATCTGGAATATCACTGGTCTACGTCTGGACTTCAAGAAAGTATCTGCAACTACCTTGCTGTAACTCTAAATTCTCAAAAAATTTCTAGAATTATACTGGTAAAACTTTAAATTGCAAGAAAATGTCTGAAAATACACCTACCATGCTATTAACTGCAAGATAATATCTGGAATATCATTGGCCTACGTGTGGACTTCAAGAAAGTATCTGCAAGTACCTTGCTGTAACTTTAAATTCTCAAAAAATTCTAAAATTATACTGGTAAAACTTTGAATTGCAAGAAAATGTCTGAAAATACACCTACCATGCTATGAAGTGCAAGAAAATATCTGGAATATCACCGGCTTACGTCTGGACTGCAAGAAAATATCTGCAACTACCTTGCTATAACTCTAAATTCTCAAAAAATGTCTGGAATTATACTGGTAAAACTTTGAATTGCAAGAAAATGTCTGAAAATACACATACCATGCTATGAAGTGCAAAAAAATATCTGGAATATCACTGGCCTACGTCTGGACTTCAAGAAAGTATCTGCAACTACCTTGCTGTAACTTTAAATTCTCAAAAACTTTCTAGAATTATACTGGTAAAACTTTGAATTGCAAGAAAATGTCTGAAAATACACCTACCATGCTATGAAGTGCAAAAAAATATCTGGAATATCACTGGCCTACGTCTGGACTTCAAGAAAGTATCTGCAACTACCTTGCTGTAACTTTAAATTCTCAAAAACTTTCTAGAATTATACTGGTAAAACTTTGAATTGCAAGAAAATATCTGAAAATAAAACCCAACGACAGCTACTCTATGGAAGTGAAGATATGGTGCAGATTACTCCTCTTTCCTATCTCTCTGTCATAATCTCTACAACAAAGTCCTGAACCTAGTTTCTGTATTCTGAGTTCTCTGTTATCTTCTCCACAATTTTCCTTGACTTAATCGAGGCCATCTGTATCATTTGAATCAGGAACCAGTCCAACAATAAAGCTTTTTCCTTCTCACATTATTCAGGAAACAGTGGGAGCTCTCTATCAAATTAACCTTCCAGTCAAAAGAGTGAATATGTCCGAAAATAAGAACACTGTTAGTAGATTGACAATAAAAAATCCTTTACACCTTTACACCTTTGCTGCTATGCTAATAATGCATTCAAATTCCAAGTTCCATTGTTTTCTGGCAATATCACACCGTTGGTACAAGATGAAGGACAAGTAGAGTGTTCAAGACACAACCTTATTAAGTTGAAGTAAATTGATATGAAAATGTTTCAGTAAAAATTATTGTTTTAAGTGTCATAAAAATGTGTATACAACGTTTTTAAACATTGAATTGGAGTCATAAATATTTTTTTAAATTGTAGTAAAAAGAGCGTAGATTTCAATTAAACATGCGAATTTAAAATTTAAACCTACCATGCTATGAAGTGCAAGAAAATATCTGGAATATCACTGGCCTACGTCTGGACTTCAAGAAAATATCTGCAACTACCTTGCTGTAACTCTAAATTTTCAAAAAAATTCTAGAATTATACTAACAAAACTTTAAACTGTAAGAATAAATTTGGATTTGTACTAAGTTAAACCTTAATTGAAAGAAGAACATTAAAAACGCTAAGAAAACATCAAGTCGCAAAAAAAAATCTGCTCTAGTATTTGGCCTAACTTGACAAAGTTTGTCTTTCGAAGTGTTTGTAAAATTACACTGATTGTGTTATAAAAGAATAAAAATGTCTAGAATGGTCTTTATAAAACACTAAGCTTTTTTAGAATTACATTGTCAGAATGCTAACGATTTTTATAATTATACTGGCAAGCTTTAGAGTGAATGAAAAAGTCTGAAATTGCACTGGCTATGTTGTAAAAGTCTGAAATCGTTTGGAAATCTCTTGGTAAAACGATAGGCTACAGAAAAATTTTTAGAATTTCATTGCAAAAATTTTAATGATTACTGGAATCATACTGGTAAAGTTTGTAGTGTGGGTAAAAGTCAAAAAAAGCGCTCGATATGTTGTAAAAGTCTAAAATCGTTTGGAAATCTGATAAATCGATGGGCTACAGAAAAATTTCTAGAATTACATCGTTAAAACTCGAATGATTTCTGGAATCATAGTAGCTAACTTTGCAGCGCAGAGAAAAGTCCAAAATTGCGCTGAATATATCGTAAAAATCTGAAATCGTTTGGCAATCCCTTGGTAAAACACTAAGCTGCAGAAAAATGTTAGAATTGCATTGCCAAAACTCCAATGATTTCTGGAATCATACTGGTAAATTTTGTAATAAAGAAAAAAGTCCAAAATTGCGTTGGCTATGTTATAAAAGTCTGAAAATTCTTGAATCGAAGCTATGAAAGTCAATATTCCAATTATTTTTGTGTCCGTACTCATAAAAGGATAAATCACAAGTTAAGATATGATCCTATTAAGCAAGAAGAACTCGTGTCAAAATCATTGTCATAATAATAATAGCAAAATGTAAAAATCGATGATACATTTCAACCAATATTTGAAATTTAAATACTTTGAATAATGATATTAGAAATTGTGATGATTTACATTTCCAATTTTACTCTGTCATAGTTTAAGTAACATAACTCGATTCCGTTTGGCAATTATCGAATGCTAATTTTTGGTAGCAGACGTTGGTTAGGTTCTGAATTCAGGATGCACCATTGATTGACAAGCTACGACGGGTACATTACAGAGCGGAAATTGGAAAGCAAACGTTCATCACTTGATTTCCTGATGGGTTTCAAACGGGATTTACCCCTTTAAAATTCCAACAACCATCTTAATCCCTTATTCCATGTAAACCACTTTCCGTTCCTAAAAGATACAATTAATTCTAATAAAATGGTAGAAAAACTTGTCGGAACACGTGATTAATCATAATTTGAAGTGTCCCCGCGTTAATTTTAATGCAATTATGATGTCGGCTCGCGCCGTGGTCTCATCTGGCGTCTGGGACGTCGTTCTAATCTAAAATTTACGAACCGAAAGCTTTAATTTTGAGGCAGAAGGAACAAAGTCCCCTTCGAAATGAAAAAAATTGATCTAAAATTAACTTTGCGCAACCTGCCAACAATTGTACCTCATGAAACACGACAGGATGGTAAATTATATTTCAATTCGAATTTTTAAAGTACTACTTTTTCGCAACTAAAATGTTGATGATTAAATTAGGAATTTTTCCAACCCTCATCTAAAAGAAACCCTTGATAATGCGCCCTTCTTTCGCCTGTCTGGGCAATTTTCCCTCTCTCTATATTTTTGGACCTTTCAACCATAGAAGAGAAGGCCAGGCTAAAGAAATCCCTTTTCGAAAGCTCCCTTTGTGCCAATATACGAGTGCATGCGCCACTACGTTTTGGGTTCTAACACAAAATGGCTTCGGGTTGTTAACGATTTTTTTTAGGGTCTTATAATCGCGGATGAATCATAAAGAAAAAAATTTTTTAAACTCGGTATTTCATCATTACTCTTGTTGGTTACATAAAATGAGTGTTGAAACTAAATTGAATAGCACGATTATTATGTTTTGAATTTCAACACGCAAATATCATTTATAAAATAAGTTTTGTATCACTTACCTTTTCTTTTTGTTATTAAATTATTAATAAATTATTTAATTTTCTTTTAGGTGTTTCACTCATGTTTTAAATCAATAAAAACCACGTTGATTTTATTTAATTAAAATTATATTTATTCACCTAAAACTGTATGTACACACAACTATATGTTACTTAGAACTATTGAAACTCGACGAAAATATCGTNCATACCAGGCGTAAATGTACCATTTGCTATAATGAAAAAACAAAATAAGATTTAGATAAGTAAAAAATCGATTTAATCTAATTATTTATGTACAGAATTTTTTCTCAATAATTTTTATAAAAAAGTTGTATATATTTATGGGTTATCATAAAGTAGGATCATTCAGCTCCATTTTGGTGTATAAATCACATCTCAACTCCTAAAAATAAAGTTTCGGTGATTTTTTAAAGAATTCGCTTCTCTCATAAGTAAAAAAAATCGGTTTAAACTAACAGTACTTTATCAGGATGTTTCTCAAAAATATTTATAATAAAGTTGTATATACCTATGGATTATCTTAAAGTATAATCATTGAGCTTCATTATGGTGTATAAATCACATCTTAACTCTCAAAAATAAAATTTCCACAATTTTTTTAAGATTTTCTTTCTCTCACAAGTAAAAATATGCATTTAAACTAACAATACTTTATCAGGATTTTTCTCAAAAATTTTTATAATAAAATTATATATATTTATGAATTATCTTAAAGTATGATCTTTTATCTTCAATTTGGTATATGAATCACATCTTGACTCCTAAAATTAAAGCTTCGGCGATTCTCTTAAATTTTCACCTTTATTTGAAAGTACGCAAACAATATGTTTTCAGGAATCAGTTTCTCAAAAATTTTTATAATAAAGATAAAATGTACATCAGTAAAATCACAAAATAAAACAATAAAATTAATAATAATAAACTCGATGGGGCAGAAAAAGACGAGTGTGTACAATAAGTCCATAAAGTGTCTTTCGTGATTATTTATTTAATTATTTTTTTTTTGGTAACGATTAACGAAGATTTATTTTATTATCGATGGCACAGAAAATACTAATAAGAAAAATATCTTTTTTACATCGAATTTATTAACGATCTTTTTATTATCGAACACGCACTTTTTTTTACACCAACAAATCCTTATTGACTTCACAGAAAAAAAATAATAAAATACCAAAATATTGTCACTTCGTTTTTTTCTTTTTGGTTATTATTTTTTCTTCTTTACAACTTAATATCTTTACAATTTCTTTTTTCGATGTAAATTGTTCGTTTAAAATTAAAGAGCAGTCAATCCATAATCCGATTTTATCGAACTATTTTGATTTTGTCCACAATTCGGTGAAACATTTAAAGGTGTTAAAGTGGTCATTGAATTCACATGGATTGAGTCTCCATGTAACAACGATTGATGCAAATTCGTATTCGCCATCGGATGATGATTCCCCAAATGGCTCATATTCGGCAAATCCAACATATTTTCTCCAATCGCATCGATATCTCGATTTCTGTTCTTCTTTTTATCGTTATTATTCGGCGATTGAGTTTTACATCGAGAATTTTTCGCCGATTTTCCGTTCGATGTCGTCGTCGTTACGCCGGCGGGATTCGTTTTTCTTCGTACATTTTTTGTATTTGGTAATTTATTATCTTTCTTCCATTTCATTCGTCTATTTTGAAACCATATTTTTATTTGTCTTTCGGACAACACTAAAGTGTGTGCGATCTCTATTCGTCTTCGCCTCGTTAGGTAACGATTATAATGAAATTCTTTTTCTAATTCTAAAATTTGGTGTCGTGTGTATGCTGTTCTTTGTCTTTTTGGTTCCATACCAGGCGTAAATGTACCATTTGCTATAATGAAAAAACAAAATAAGATTTAGATAAGTAAAAAATCGATTTAATCTAATTATTTATGTACAGAATTTTTTCTCAATAATTTTTATAAAAAAGTTGTATATATTTATGGGTTATCATAAAGTAGGATCATTCAGCTCCATTTTGTTGTATAAATCACATCTCAACTCCCAAAAATAAAGTTTCGGCGATTTTTTAAAGAATTCGCTTCTCATAAGTAAAAAAATCGATTTAAACTAACAATATTTTATCAGGATTTATCTCAAAAAATTTTATAATAAAGTTGTATATACCTATGGATTATCTTAAAGTATAATCATTCAGCTTCATTTTGGGGTATAAATCATATCTTAACTCTCAAAAATAAAGTTTCCACAAGTTTTTTAAGATTTTCTTTCTCTCACAAGATTTTTCTCAAAATTTTTTATAATAAAATTGTACATATTTATGAATTATCTTAAAGTATGATCTTTTATCTTCAATTTGGTATATGAATCACATCTTGACTCCTAAAATTAAAGCTTCGGCGATTCTCTTAAATTTTCATCTTTTTTTGAAAGTACACAAACAATATTTTTTGAGGAACCAGTTTCTCAAAATTTTTTATAATGAAGTTGTATATATCTATAGATAGTCTTAAAGTATAATCTTTCAGCTTCATTTTGGTATATAAATCACATGATAGCTCCCAAAAATAAAGCATCGACGATTTTTTTAAGATTTCGCTTCTCCTATAAGTAAAGAAAATCAATTTATACAAACAATACTTTATCAGGATTTTTTTTAAATTTTTTTAGATAAATCTATGGATTATCTTAAAGTATAATCATTGAGCTTCATTTTGGTGTATAAATCACACCTTAACTCTCAAAAATAAAGTTTTCACAATTTTTTTAAGATTTCCCTTCTCACATAAGTAAAAATATGCACTTAAACTAACAATACTTTATCAGGATTTTCCTCAAAAATTTTTATAATAAAATTACATAAATTTATGAATTGTCTTAAAGTATGATCTTTTATCTTTAATTTGGTATATGAATCACATCTTGACTCCTAAAATTAAAGCTTCGGCGATTCTCTTAAATTTTCATCTTTTTTAAAAGTACGCAAACAATATTTTTTCTGGAATCAGTTTCTCAAAATTCTTTATTATAAAGTTATATATACCTATGGATTTTGTTAAAGTATAATCATTGAGTTTCATTTTGGTGTATAAATCACATCTTAACTCTCATAAATAAAGTTTCCACAATTCTTTTAAAATATTCTTTCTCTCACAAATAAAAATATGCATTTAAACTAACAATACTTCATCAGGATTTGTTCCAAAAATTTTTATAATAAAATTATATATGTATATTTATGAATTATCTTAAAGTATGACCTTTTATCTTCAATTTGGTATATGAATCACATCTTGACTCCTAAAAGTAAAGCTTCGGCGATTTCTTTAAATTTTCACCTTTATTTGAAAGTACGCAAACAATATGTTTTCAGGAATCAGTTTCTCAAAACTTTTTATAATAAACTTGTATATATCTATGGATTATTTTAAAGTATAATCATTCAGCTTCATTTTGGTGTATAAATCACATCTTAACTCCCAAAAATAAAGCTTCTACAATTTTTTTAAGATTTCCCTTCTCTCACAAGTAAAAATATGCATTTAAACTAACAATACTTTATCAGGATTTTTCTCAAAAATTTTTATAATAAAATTATATATATTTATGAATTATCTTAAAGTATGATCTTTTATCTTCAATTTGGTATATAAATCACATTTTAACTCTTAAAAGTAAAGATTCGACGATTTTTTTAAGATTTCGCTTCTCCTATAAGTAAAGAAAATCAATTTATACAAACAATACTTTATCAGGATTTTTTTTAAATTTTTTTAGATAAATCTATGGATTATCTTAAAGTATAATCATTGAGCTTCATTTTGGTGTATAAATCACACCTTAACTCTCAAAAATAAAGTTTTCACAATTTTTTTAAGATTTCCCTTCTCACATAAGTAAAAATATGCACTTAAACTAACAATACTTTATCAGGATTTTCCTCAAAAATTTTTATAATAAAATTACATAAATTTATGAATTGTCTTAAAGTATGATCTTTTATCTTTAATTTGGTATATGAATCACATCTTGACTCCTAAAATTAAAGCTTCGGCGATTCTCTTAAATTTTCATCTTTTTTAAAAGTACGCAAACAATATTTTTTCTGGAATCAGTTTCTCAAAATTCTTTATTATAAAGTTATATATACCTATGGATTTTGTTAAAGTATAATCATTGAGTTTCATTTTGGTGTATAAATCACATCTTAACTCTCATAAATAAAGTTTCCACAATTCTTTTAAAATATTCTTTCTCTCACAAATAAAAATATGCATTTAAACTAACAATACTTTATCAGGATTTTTCTCAAAAATTTTTATAATAAGGTTGTATATATCTATGGATTATCTTAAAGTATGATCTTTTATCTTCAATTTGATGTATAAATCACATCTTAACTCTTAGATGTAAAGCTTTGGAAATTTTTTTAGATTTCCCTTGTCTCATAATTAAAAGAATCAATTTAAACTAATAATACTTTATCAGGATTTTTATCAAAAATTTTTATAATAAAGTTGTATATATCTATGGATTATCTTAAAGTATGATCTTTTATGTTCAATTTAGTGTATAAATCACATCTTAACTCTTAAAAGTAAAGCTTTGGCGATTTTTTTAAGTTTTGATAAGTACGCAAATTAATTTAACCTAACAATGCTTTTCCAGGAAGCAGTTTCTCAAAAATTTTTATAATAAGGTTGTATATATCTATGGATTATCTTAAAGTATGATCTTTTATCTACAATTTGGTGTATAAATCACATCTTAACTCTTAGATATAAAGCTTTGGCAATTTTTTTAGATTTCCCTTGTCTCATAATTAAAAGAATCAATTTAAACTAATAATACTTTATCAGGATTTTTCTCAAAAAATTTTATAATAAAAATGTGTATATTTATGAATTATTTTAAACTATGATCTTTTCTCTTCACTTTGGTGTATAAATCACAACTTGACTCCTAAAAGTAAAGCTTTGGCGATTTTTTTAAGTTTTGATAGATACGCAAATTAATTTAACCTAACAATGCTTTTCCAGGAAGCAGTTTCTCAAAAATTTTTATAATAAGGTTGTATATATCTATGGATTATCTTAAAGTATGATCTTTTATCTACAATTTGGTGTATAAATCACATCTTAACTCTTAAATGTAAAGCTTTGGCAATTTTTTAAGATTTCCCTTGTCTCATAATTAAAAGAATCAATTTAAACTAATAATACTTTATCAGGATTTTTCTCAAAAATTTTTATAATAAAGTTATATATATCTATGGATTATCTTAAAGTATGATCTTTTATGTTCAATTTGGCGTATAAATCACATCTTAACTCTTAAAGGTAAAGATTCGGCGATTTTATTAAAATTTTGTTTATCTCATAAGTAAAAAAATCAATTTAAACTAACAATACTTTATCCGGATTTTTCTCAAAAATTTTTATAATAAAATTATATATATTTATGAATTATCTTAAAGTATGATCTTTTATCTTCAATTTGGTATATGAATCACATCTTGACTCATAAAAATAAAGTTTCGGCGATTTTCTTAAATTTTCATCTTTATTTGAAAGTACACAAACAATATTTTTTGAGGAACCAGTTTCTCAAAATTATTTATAATGAAGTTGCATATATCTATAGATAGTCTTAAAGTATAATCTTTCAGCTTCATTTTGGTATATAAATCACATCTTAGCTCCCAAAAATAAAGCATCGACGATTTTTTTAAGATTTCGCTTCTCCCATAAGTAAAGAAAATCAATTTAAACAAACAATACTTTATCAGGATTTTCCTCAAAAAATTTTATAATAAAATTGTGTGTATTTATGAATTATCTTAAAGTATGATCTTTTATCTTCAACTTGATATATGAATCACATCTTGACTCCTAAAAGTAAAACTTCGGCGATTTCTTTAAATTTTCACCTTTTTTTGAAAGTACGCAAACAATATGTTTTCAGGAACCAGTTTCACAAAATTTTTTATAATAAAGTTGTATGTATCTACGGATTATCTTAAAGTATAATCATTGAGCTCCATTTTGGTGTATAAATCACATCTTAACTCTCATAAATAAAGTTTCCACAATTCTTTTAAAATATTCTTTCTCTCACAAATAAAAATATGCATTTAAACTAACNAAGCTTTGGCAATTTTTTAAGATTTCCCTTGTCTCATAATTAAAAGAATCAATTTAAACTAATAATACTTTATCAGGATTTTTCTCAAAAATTTTTATAATATAAATGTGTATATTTATGAAGTATTTTAAAGTATGATCTTTTCCCTTCACTTTGGTGTATAAATCACAACTTGACTCCTAAAAGTAAAGCTTTAGCGATTTTTTTAAAGTTTTGATAAATACGCAAATTAATTTAACCTAACAATGCTTTTCCAGGAAACAATTTCTCAAAAATTTGTATAATAAGGTTGTATATATCTATGGATTGTCTTAAAGTATGATCTTTTATCTACAATTTGGTGTATAAATCACATCTTAACTCTTAGATGTAAAGCTTTGGCAATTTTTTAAGATTTCCCTTGTCTCATAATTAAAAGAATCAATTTAAACTAATAATACTTTATCAGGATTTTTCTCAAAAATTTTTATAATAAAAATGTGTATATTTATGAATTATTTTAAAGTATGATCTTTTCCCTTCACTTTGGTGTATAAATCACAACTTGACTCCTAAAAGTAAAGCTTTGGCGATTTTTTTAAGTTTTGATAAGTACGCAAATTAATTTAACCTAACAATGCTTTTCCAGGAAGCAGAGTCTCAAAAATTTTTATAATAAGGTTGTATATATCTATGGATTATCTTAAAGTATGATCTTTTATCTACAATTAGATGTATAAATCACAT